TTGCCATCTTGTATAAGGCCCACTACTGTTGTTTCAGCCTCATACTTCAAAATATGGTTGATGGCAAACCTTGCATGTTTTCGAAAATGTCATCTTTTTAATGTTTAAGTAGTACAGTCAACTTAGATAAATTCCATTTTTTTGTTCTCAATATTAAATGATACTTGTGAGTATACAAGTGATTTTATGCTTTAAAATTATGTGAACTAGGAAATTTATATTTAAGCTTTATATTTTAGCCATATTGGTGAAAGGTTGATTGTGTTTAAGTTACACAAAGTACACTTCGTACTACAGATGGACTAAATATTAGTTCTCACATTACTAACATATTCATAGGAGCTATGGAAAACAAGCACAGTTCTGTGAAATGTCATTTCTGTTATACCAAGCAGTATTTTTTTTGTAATGCATAGATAACCCAGTCAATTTAGATGAATTGCATTTTTATATTCTCAATACTGAATGGTACTTCTGAGCATATAAGTGACTGTATGGTTTAAAACTGCATGACCTAGGAAATGTATTTTTAACCTCTGCCACTTCTTAGCCAGTGTTTGAGTATGTTTCAGTTAAAATTGTTTCCCCTCAATACAGATACTTGTGGACTAGAAATTAATTTTCAAATTAGCAACATTATATTCTAGTTTATGACCTGATATTTCAAAAAATTCTATTTTAGAAATTATAAATTATTATTATTTAACTTTTCATTTATTTTATTAATATGACTTTCTTAATAGTATCCCATATATAAAATATCACTTACATTGGGTTATGTTTTGGTTGCTTTGCTTAACAGTACACTCACACTAATAAAACACTAACAAGTAAATCACGTTAAGAAATCTTTTAAAATGAATATTTAAATAAATATTAGTTCTTAAGGCATTAATACAGAGAGGTTTGTGATTGGAGCTATTCCTGGAGTATAGATTGCTCCAAGACTGAATAGATCAACTGTTCAAACACCTTGGGGATTAGTCCTTCATTTTGCAGGCAATCCAATGGGAAGCAGGTTGCTGAAAATGCACAGAGGAGCCCATCTACCATCATTAAATTCCTTAAGATGAGAGATGGCTACTATATACCTGCAGCTCTCAAATTACTTTAATCCAATAACACAACTTATCTATGAACTGCAATTAGACCCCCTTTCCATTGTTGCACTATTTGAATTTGTACAAAATAATTTTTAACATCAACCTTTCAACTATCTAATTGTGTCTTTTAATGCCACTCTGTGACTAGAGACTGCTTTCATGAAAGTGGAGGCTAGAGTATGGATGACCATGCTCAACTATTGACTCAAGCTATTTTTTTTAACATGCTTTTGCCTGATTAACAATGAGTGATTTTTAGTTGACATGGAAACAGGAAGTAGCAACTAAAACGGCATCTTTGAGCTTCCCTGCAGGTCTTGTACTTAGACTGGATATGGTCAGGTAAAACACCCATTAAACAGTATATAGCAAACACAGAATTCCAATTGGAGCAAGCCAGGCCCTCAGAACCAGTGAATCTGAGAGTAACTTTGCACTGCAACCATAACGAACTAAACTGTACTTACACATAGAAGGCTCTTTATTCTGGCATGATATCATCTCTTTCCCTCAGGTATTCCTTGAAGGCTAATAAAGAAAGATTCTTTACCAGGAAAGATAATATCCCTATGGCTCTAGACTCATAGGAACAGCAGATTTAGATTTCTATTTTTACTCTTGATCTTTCCTTTATGCCTTTTTAATATCCCATCTTAATTATGCTGGTCTATAGAAGATTTGAATTGATTAGTATCTGGTAGGCATGCTGAATTAGTTGTTGACACTTTAAAGTTGATGAGATATATCATTGTCAAAATGTTGAATAAAATAGTAATGGGTAGCATTTAAATGTTTTAAAAACCATATAAAGAGTATTTAGGAAACAATAAAACCTCAGTTTACCAGATCTTGATGCAAGGACTTCCTCATTCAGTATGCCACATTTCTCTTATGATTTACTTAATTCATTATGTAAATAATACAAAATATATTATTGGCAAGGTTTGTGTGATATCATTATGCAAGTGGTATAATTTGTTTTATTTGTGAAATGTCATCATCATGTATGTGATACTCTTAAGTTAAACTATTTAATGGCAATTATTTTTAGTTTAATTTATTAAAATAAGCGTATTAAACTCTGGAGTATTTTAAACACTTCTTAGCATGTGGTTGGGAGTAAGTGCTACTGCTAACCATGTTGGTTCCTAGCTAGGATTCAGTATTTTTTTAAAAATGTATCCTGAAATGCAACTTAGGATGACTCTCAAGCAGAAGTAGTTGCTAGAAGAATAGTAATAGATGCTGAATTAGTGGGACATGAGGATCTTGAACACATTGAAGGAAATAAATAATTGTAGCTTCCAAGACTGTTTCTTGTGCATTATTTGAACCACTGTCTTATATTACTTTGAATACTCTCCAGGTCTTGTTAAATTTTTGAGAGGAGTAGTGAATTGGACATATACAGTATTTCTATGTCAACATCCAATACAATTATCAAGTATTTTGATAATTATTTAATCATTTGAAGGTAATAGTACAAGTGGAGTTAAATATAGACAATGATTTATTTTACATGATAAGGTTAATTATATTTTTAAAATATTCTAGTTATATAATCTTCCCTATATTAAGAGGCATGAGAATTCGTATGTTTGAAATTAGTGCAATTTTATCCATTTGTTTAGAAAATATCAAGTGGCTGATCACCTAAATGTGTTCTACTGTATGGTTGAGAAAAGATAATTGTCATCTATCACTACCTACCTCACCCAAGATACATCAAGTAGTCAATCTTCCTTCACCACCTACATCCTCCATCTTCCTCCAGGAGCCCCACCTCTGGTGATCTCAGAAAAATATGTTTGAGGTCTGTTTCAAAAGATTGGAAAAGCACCATTCCCAGACTGAGTAACTCCTCCTTATTCGAAAGCCTCTGCTGAACAATTGGTCCCCATCTTCACATGGATTTTTAATAAATCACTGGAGATGTGTTATGTCCCTTATTACTTCAAATATCATCCTGGTTCCTGGCAAATCCTCCATCAGGAGCTGAATGACTATAGGCTGGTTGTTCTGACATTTATAGTTATGAAGCACTAACTTCTCAAAGTTAGCTTTGAGAGATAACTTGCTGGCCTACCTGAAAGTCATCATGGATCTGCTTTTAGACCCCCTTGGAGTTTGCCTACTTAGCAAATAGTTCAACAGATAATGTTGTCAATATGATACTGCACTATATCTTACAACATCCAGAATGCCTGGGGACGACCAATGTACAGGTCCTTTTTATAGACATCATCATTCAGTACCATCATTCCAGAAATTCTTTACTCTAAACTAAACTGATTCGGCTCACTGTGCCTATTCATACTTGCAGGTAAGCTTTTTGACAGATAGGATGTAGAAGGTGAAGCTAGGGAAAATTACATCTAGTACCCAGGTAATGAGCACAGGAACCTCTCAGGACTGCTCTCTCCATTGCTCTCTCTCTATTCCAATGACTGCATTTCAAGGTAACCTTCTATTAAAGCATTGGAATTTGCAGATAATACAATAGTCATTGGCCTCATTCAAGATTGTGATGAGTCTGCATATAGAGAGGAGTTTGAGCAACCCACCCAGTGGTGCAGCCAGAACAATCTGGAACTGAACATGCTTAAAACTATAAAGATTAGAGTGGATTTAGGAGGAGTCCTTCTATTCCATCACCTCTTACTATATTTGATAGCACAGAATCAGCTGTATCCTTAAAATGTTGGAGTTATATAATCTCCCGGAATTTAAAGTAGACATTTAATATAACTATCATTTTAAACTACAACAAAGTATGTTCTTCCAGTGTCAATTCATGAAGTTTACACTGCCTCAGAAGCTGTTGGTACAGTGTTATAGAATAATTATTGAATCATTTGTTCTTCTATAACTGTCTGGTTTGGTTCAGCAACCAAACAGGACAGGTACAGATGCCAATGAATAGTTAGGATTGCAGAAAGAACAACTGCAGCCAGCCTGCCTTCCATAGAAGATCTGTATATTGCGTGGGTCAGGAGGGCTGAGAAAATATCTGCACATGCTTCACGTCCTGGACAGACTGTTTTAAACTCCTCCCGGGATGCTTTTATAGGGCACTGACCCCAAAACAACTAGACACAAGGAAAGTTTCTTCCCTTGTGCCATCACTCTGCCAAACACCTAATTGTTACAGTACTATCTATGTAGATTTACTCATGTCGTATGGCTGTATCATTATTATCCTTCCTTACTAACCCTTGTTGGTATTATTATAATGATTATTGTTACTCTGTTGCTTTGCATGTGCACTGAGAACTTCTGCACAGGAGAATTCTTTATGCTTCTAATCACACTTGGCCAAATAAATTCTATTCTATTCTATTCTACTTCTACACTACTCTACTCTAGTCTACTCCATTTTTTTAAATATTTTAGAGCAGCGCTTTCAAACTCACGGCCTGCAGGCTAGATGTGTCACACACTGGCCACACCCACACCTAGTTTAGCGAAGGGGAAAAGAGTTGTGATATGTCACATAATGCTGCCATGATGCTGCAAGTTTGACACACCTGTTCTAGAGATATAATTTCTCCCTATTTTCAAGAGGCATGAGAATTACTATATTTGAAATTAGTACAATATTGTACGTTTGTTTAGAAAATATCTTACTAGTAACATTGTTAGCTCTGGAAACATTTTATAGTAGCAATTTTTTATATAGTAGTTCTCATGGCACAGGAAATATGCTGCATATAAATGTATATTTTTCCTGTTTATTTAGAATCAAGTGCATTAAACTAAATTATAGTTATGTCTTGAACTATTTTGATAATATGTCATAAGACCCTGGGTGTTCTTTGCCAGTTTTAAAATGCCTTCAATTTCCAGGAAGGTTCAGTCCCTCTAAATGCAACTTTGATGTTATGATTTTCTCAACAGGCACTGCTCAGTCCACCCTATGTTGGAATACTGCATATCATGATGAGGATCTAATCCTGATTGGAGATACTGAATGCCACGAAAATACAAGTAAATAAGAATAAAGATAATGATATAAGTAAATAATAGTAAAATGCTGCTTCGCACATTTATAACAATTCAGTAACCTTATATTATCTTTATGATAAAAATTGGGTTTTGGCACTTAAACTTACGATTAAATATAGTTTTTGTAACTGGAAATTATTGTCTGAATTGTCTTGTTAGGAAATTATGCCAGTAAAAAATAAGTGTGTCCTGAAATACAGTGCTAGAATTAAAATTAGGAATCTGCTAAGGTATATTTAGACCTACTGATCAATATCTTTCAAATGCATATTGACTTAGATAACATATGAGTCGATAGACACATTTTGAATATTGTACATTTATTGCACTTTCTCTAGAATATAGTAACAATTCTGTTTTCAACATCTTAATAATGCATGATTTCACCACCAAAATTCAAGACAAAATGCCTATGAATTTTCATATTTTTTAAAATAAATAACATAAATAATGATTGCAATAAGCATCTGGGAGACAAACAGATTTCTACTGCTCACATTCAAATTCCCCAAACTATGATTTTGGCTCTGTTTGCTGGGGCGGTGGAGGGACAAAGTTAGAAGATAAAATAATTTTCTTTTCAAATTTCCTGATTATATATTAACAATCGTTGTACAGGCAAATGCCTTTTAATAACCTTGGGTATATCCATTTGTGTACAAGGTTCTTTAGGATCAGTTGTTATAAAATATTTTGCATGGCAATTATGTTTTCTTTTTCAGTTGGAATGTTAATTTTTTGAAGAATACACAAAATCTATTTTTGGGGGGGAGTTTCAGTATTTCTGTGAAAAGAAGTCTTCTGAAACTTAACATATTTGCATGTAATTTGTTAGTCCATTTCCATACACACACACGAACACAATATGTATGTACTGTGTGTGTGTGTGTGTGTGTGTGTGTGTGTGTGTGTGTGTGTGTGTCTACATGCATATATACATGCATACGTAAACATATAGGAGGTATGATGGCTCAGCAGTTAAAGATGCTGAGCTTGTCAGCTGGAAAGTTTTGAGACTCAAATGTCGCACAAGGGGGTGAGCTCCCATTACTTGCCCTAGCTCCTGCTTCGAAAGCATGTAAATGTGAGTAGATAAATAGGTACCACTTTGGTGGGAAGGTAACAGCAGTGGTGTACATGGTGGTCATATGACCATGGAAGTGTCTTTGGACAATACTGGCTCCCTCGGCTAAGGAAAGGGGCTGACCGCCCCTTATTGTCAGAAATGCCCAGATAGGAAAAACCTTTACTCATACTTATGCACATAGGCAGAAGAAAAGTAATTCTACTGAGTATAAAATCCAGTACAACATAGAAGATTTTATAGTATTCCCAAGATCAGATCAAAATTTAGATAGTGTTGAAACATGACCTGGGACTTCATAAAGTATAAGAGATCACATATTGCAGTCTGAAATAACCATATTCCTACTAGTAAAAAAGCCTTTCCTGCTCTTAAGATTACAGTTGTCAATTATGTGCTACATTTTAATTCAAATATAGATATAATGCTAATTGTAAACAAGGTCAGAACCCCCACTTGTAGGGATTATAAATTTAAAACTGAAATACACATACACACACTATAATTATTTTATACCAACATTTTTTTCCAAATGTATGTTGATTTTCTAACAGAAAGATTAATCACTAAAAATAATATTTTAAGAATGCATATAGAGCTATCAAAATCTTACCTGGATGGTTATTAAAATCTGTATTGATTTTCATTTATTTATTAAATTGATCTTGCCTTGCATGACTATTTTATCTTCATTCTTGATTCTTATAAAATGTTATCATGGATCATAATGACTTATGCACTGTAGATGAAATGTAATCAGCTTTTGGGGGCGGGGGGAGGTACTAGGAATTCATTTCTTGCTTAGATCTTTAATTAGGCGTTATAGTTTGTGTACAAATAGAGAAAACCAGAACATGTATAATAGTAACAACCTAAAACTCAGGAATTGTTGTAACAGTAAAAGGAATTGATCTTTATTCTCTAAGAATCACTATGAGGATAATCCGCTGTGAGACTAGGAAAGTTTTGTCCATTTTATAATTTAAACTATAATATTTTAATACTGTACTGTACAGAAAATGAAATTGATTTGAATTCTTGTTCATTTAATGTTAGTTTTTTATTTGAATAATATTTATAAGAGAATTTTCACTATTAACATAACTGAGGCAAATTCATCATTTTCTCATATGTGCTCGATTTCTTATTAAGTACTATACTGAGTTGTCATTTCATATTCTGATTATAATGCACTTTCATTGTTGTTACTATGTTGTTGTTTATTTATTTAGATTTTATTACTATTGTTCCAAAATTTAAAATAAATGAGAAAGACTACAATACAGAAATTCATAAATGTTCACTATATCCAGAACTGAGTTTAATCAAAGGGAACATAAAGATTTTTTTCTACAGTTTTAAAATTATAATATAACAAAAAAAGAGTGAGGTCATAAGCATCTGGGAATAGATGTTAATAATCTTTTCCTACCGTGAGTGAGATTTCATATCTTAGAATATTTGACAAGAAATTCATCTGTGGGTAGTTTCTGACAATAAGAAACTCTCCTGTGAAATGGGTGGGTTGATAATATATCCCAAATATATGATTACTCTGGCTTGGTTTTTCTGTCTGGAAATACTGTTTCTCGTGCTATTTACGGTATTCATATTCATCATAATAAAAATGTACTTAGTAATTTACAGCCAAGATTGTACAGTAAAATAGCTATTTAAAAATTAAATAAAAGTGTAAAGCAAACTAAAAATCTACCTAATGCACACACATTTAACTCATAACCAATGGCATCACTTTGCACCCCAAAGCTTAGTTTTTAATAGAAAAAGCACTGGTATTAAGACCAACCACATAGAGGAGGAGGAATTAGCAAAGATTTTTTTCACAGTTCATACATGCTAACAGAAAACAGTGCATATTTGCCTCCATTCCTTTGATTTTCCCAAATTGGGGGACCACGAGCAAATTCCTCTGATTTACACAAAGGAGTTCTTTTTTCTCTTCCATTCAATCATGCCCAGTTCTCAGAGACTGCCTGGACAAGTGCCTTGGCAAAGTTTTCTTGGCAAAGTTTTCAGAATTACTGTAACTTGCCATAGCCTCCTTCCTAGGGCTCAGAGAACATGAGAGGCCCAAGATTATTCAGATGGCTTTGAACTAAGGAGGGATTAGAACTCACAGTCTTCCAGTTTTCAGCTCTAACCACTGAACAAAATAGCTGTTGCATGGATAGGATAGGTCAAAATCTTTTGCAAAAGATGCTCTTCCACATACTCCAGTACTAAGTTATATATAGGGTTTCAAACAGCCAAATCATCACTTTAAACCTGGAAGTGCATCTTTTCTGTGCCTGCCCTCTGGAATAAGGTTTCCCCTGAAATTTGAATGGCTTCCACCCTATTGCTACTTTGAGTGGCTTTATTCTTTGCCCTGGACTTTGGAGACAACAATTGATGCTCCTTTCTTCCTTTTCTCCATTTTTCACATTTTTAGATTAGCATCTAATACTCCAGTAGTCTCTGTGTATTGACTAGCTTCAATTGTATATGAATAGCTGAATTTTGGCTAGCATTAAATGCAATTACGTATGAATTTATAAATTGTACCAAGTAAAATTTCACATTATTCAAATCTTGACCTACCGATATTGAATTGACTTTGATCTCTGATCCTAAAATTCCTGATCTTAAAGGGCAATCACATGTTGTTAATATAGAATATATGAATTTCTTATGAATCATGATAATGCAACTGAATATCCCATGGGTTGTATAACTTGGGATTCATAGTAATATAAGCAAAATGACTGACAGCTGTCTATATAGGCAGAGCAAAAAGAGCTATCTACTATTAACAACTCAATTGAATATTAACAGTATATAACAAAAATTGAAGACACATGTAATTCTATATAACTTTTATATTTTTATTTTTTTACATTGTGTGTGTGTGCGTGTGTGTGTGTCAGTGAATGAGAAAGAGGGGGCTTGTTTTTGGAAATAGATAGCCACATGGATATAAGTATATAGAATATTAATAATAAACAACAGAAGTAACAAAGTATCTCTTGATACAATCTAGTCCTTTAATTATTGAATATTCAACAACCATATTTTTATGCAAAACAAATCTCATGACAATAAAATAAAAAAGGTTGTCTTCAGATTCTGTTCAGCTATTCAAAAATTAAATTAGTCATTTACATTATATTGGAATTTGTTACTCCTCTTTCATAGAACTAATTATTTTGACTTGAGTTCGAACTCCTGCTCAATGCAGGAATACAAATTAAAGTTACTTCATAAACTAACGCTACTTAAACATTACCACCATTTCTCTGAGCAATTAATTCTAGTATCAGATTGCTTTTTGTACTATAAATCTAATTGTAATGTTTACCTAACAGTCAACATTTTTTCAGCATAGGAACAATTGGACCTAAGTCTTTATTCATCAAGCATACATCTGGTTTTCTGATATCTTTCCTTTGTAAATTATTCTACTTTTTTGTGGATGCCTTGTTAAAATAACATTAAGATTCAGATTTTTTTCCCCTGAGTCACTGAAAGAGAAAACCACAGCACTTTCTAGCTATAGTACATATCCAGGAAGTTCTCAGTTAACATTCAGTGATCATTCAAAGTTACAATGGCACTGAATCTATGGTGCTTATGACCAGTTTTGAGATGCCAGCCATTCTAGCAGTCTCATGATTATGATTTAGACATTTGGCAACTGGCTCATGCTTACAATGATTGCAACATCTCTGTTCAAGTGTTCACAATCTGCAACCTTCCCTATCTGTTTCCCACAACCAAATTCATTGAGGAAGCCATCAGAAAAGATCACAAGTCGCTTGGATGTCTCCCTGACCTGTACATCGTCACCAAGCTGCTTTTTGCTCTTGCCTTACCTCGCTGGCCATCCACACATCATTGC